TAGTATTAAGTATGACAGAACATACATTTGGTGTTGAATAAAATATTTGAACAATTTTTAAAAATTATTTAGTTAATTATTTTATTAAAGATTATAACATTGTATATACAATAAAAAAATTATAATTTTAATTTTAGCCACGCACAACAACACCTAAATCACCCCACACAAACCACCTTTCCCGCCCACCGAAATATAAAACACAATTTAATACAACATCATCAGTTAGTATAATAGCATTTTTTATTTGAACTGTTTATCTTAAACATAATACAATTAATTCTTACAACCTACTTATATAGTTAATTCCTAACACTACTTATTTTCTATAAAATAATCTGTCATATCGGTATACATATCCAGAAGGTAATATAAGTCCTTTAAATCTTCCTTGTTTTGAGATGATAGAGTTTCATAACAAATCCATCTTTTTCGCATAGTTGAAAGAACAGGATCAGAAGATAGAAGTAAACTATTAAAAATATCTTCATTCTGTGATTGCCTGGAGCATTTTCTTCTGAATAGTTGAACATGCTTAAAATCTCGATTCCTCGCTTCCTGGGCTTCTTCTGTTAACTCTCCAAGTGGAAGAATATTCGATTCAATTATTATTTGACCATGACACAATACTTTGTGTACTGTTGGTGTTAGTTCCCTCCATGGATACAGAGATACAAGTAATTTAGAAATTTCAGATATATATTCCCCAAATCGATTTCCATTAATTTTATGGTTACTATTCAGTGCCATTAAAATAGTGTTAACTCTTCGAAGCAACTCCATGTCGATTCCAGTTATTTTTGAAGTAATTTCAAAATCACGAAAAAACCTTCTCGCCGTATTACCGTCATTTGTACTACCGCAACTTGGAAGTGGTTTGTCGATGTTTAATCCCATCTGAACTTTAAATTCTTCTTGGATTCTGCTTTTTTCCGCAGCTCTCAGTTCTTTCAATTCTTCATTATTTTTTGTTGATTTAGTAAGATTCTCTGGCACACTTCTATATTTGAGGTCGTATGCTATGTGTAAAAAGTAATCCAAAAATCGTATTCTGGCATGAAGTGGTGAAATTCCGAAAGACAGGACTTCTTCATTAATACTTCTGCTTTTGTTTATATTTGAGAATTGCGACTTTTTCTCATTACATATTGATCATCTCCAGAAGGAAGAAGTTTCTGTTATGGCATTGCTGACCTTTCCATCAATCAATGTTAAGCTTTGCTGATATGATACGTTAGAGAATTCCTTTATTTTTATGCAAATGGGCTCCAGTGCATTTATTTCATCTTTTAAATATTCCACTAAATCTTTTGTTGTTTTCTTTGACTCCTTTATATATTCAAATCCAATGGGTCTACAAAAATTTTTTGAACCCGGAGTTGTATTGATCCATATATCTTCAAAGCTTGACGATGATGGATTAAGGGAATATGAACGAATTCGTAATGGCACTAATGATGACATAAATACACTTTTGTAGTCTGCTAATGTCCGACTTCCACAAGCTTGTTTGTATTCTGGAAGTGCTGATAAACCGTCACATCCCCACTTACACATTAAGACAACATCACAGTTATGAATTTTCCTTAGTTGGTCTTCTGAAAAGTCTGACACAATTCTTGATGCTGTGTTTTCGAGCAAAGATGATATATCAATACAAGCTTCCACATCATTAACAGCAATAGGTGATGGTAGGATAGTTTGTTTTTTTCCTGGATCGTAAGTGGATCCAAAGTAAAAAATTACGAATTGTCTACCTATTAACATTTAGGACTATATTACTATAACCTGTAATTCAGTCATTGATATTTCTTATTAGTGAATGAATCGAAATTATCATTACCTGTATATTTTTACCTACATGATCATAAACGAAACAGAACGAAATGATCTGTCGAAAAAATTTATGTAAAAAATAGTTATAAATTTCTGAAAATTTAAGCATAATAGGACCTTTCAATTATAAGGATAAGCAAACAAATAGAAAATAGGTAAATATAAGATTTAAATATGTTCTGTCATATTTAATACTAAAATATGAAAAATATGAAATTAAAGGATACAGGTTTAAATTAACATATTTTTGAATGTAATTGAGATATTGGCTTGAAATTTTTTGTAAAGGGTCGAGAATTTCCATATCTAACTAAAAAATGATATTAAGGGATAAATATGGACTAAATTGTTGTAGCTATCTGCGACCCTATAAAAATTTTGATATAAATCATAGTTTTAGAAATTTAACAAATGTGTAATATAAGACAAAATCTTTATTTATGAACAAAACTCAATGAAATTTTCAACGCTTGTTAAATTTGTCATTTCAAATAAGAAAATGCAAAAAAAAAATTGAAAAGGTCAAAGGGCATACCGCAATTCCCAAAAATAGGAATGAAAATCCCAAAAATGGGATTTTTTACATTTTTGCCCATAGGGTCCACATTTCTTTCAGGGCTGGGAAAATACTTTTGGAGTAAATAGAAAACATATTGAGGTTTCCAAAACTGCTTTCAGTTTTCTGATCCCAGCTTTGGGATTTTAGAACATGTCGCCCAAAGTTGAAGTTTTGATCATATTCGGTCATATTCGGAAGGACGCAGTGGCAACATTTTCAAAAAATAGGACAAGTTTTTTACGCCAAAGCGTTCTGCGTAAAGATACCTTTTAGAAAACTATAAAATTGTTATATGTTCTTAAAGAAAATTTTATTTTATTAATAAAAGAGTTAAGACACATTTTTGGCAAAAAAACGGCAAGAATATAAAATTTCTTGAATTCTTAAATTAAAAAACGTATATTTTTGGATCTGTAAATGATATTGATCTGAAATTTTTTGTATATTATTGGAAAAATTGAGTCCATTTGGTCCAAAATTACGCCCGGTATTCAAAAAAAGGCGGACCAAGATATGGTAAATTTTGTATCACTAAATTTTTAAATGCCTATAACTCATGTTTTTTCAAGATCTCGTCGAGCGCTTTCAGAAAATATTTGTATTTTGGTGAAAAACAAAAAAATGGCACGAGTTTAAAAATTTTACAGGTCGTAGGTACCCTATTTTGAGCAGCCACAGCGCCGTCCCTGGGGCATCTGCAGGGTTCATCTTCAAAACTTAAACTCGAATACTCCTTGGCTACGCTCACGCCAAATTTTATCCCGATCGGATCAGCCGTTTAGAAATGCCAGATTTATTTCCAAAAAATTCCGATTCTGCCCCACTGTGGTGTGTAGTAAAGACCTGCACAAGACAACAATAATAGCGACAATTTGTTAAAAAACCCAGCAAAAAAAATTGATGTCATACTTTACAAACAACATCTTAATCACATCTAAAAATATGATTACATATTTTTCGCTTTTATAAACCAAGTATTTCCTTACAAATGAAATCCCAGTTGAAAGTGAGAAAAGAGTTGTAGAAAAGTCACTACAAATAACATATTCGAAGTACATCAAATTCAGATTAAAAACCAATGAAATTTACATAAGCATGTCATTGAAAGAATGCGGTTTATTTTTGACATCCAAATATTGGATTTTTACTGCTTCTCAAAATAAGATTAGATGTAGTCCATAATTGCCAAAAATGAACAACATCCCTCCAGTGACACGCTAATGGAGAACTCATAGGTTTTTCACCCGAATTTGAAGCACTTCGGGTTACTAGTTGTGATGAAAATACTGCATCTTTTTCCACACTTTTTTTGCTGGGAAATATCGTGTGCGCCATCATAAGCACACGAAATTTTTTAGCAAATTGTCGCATTATTGTTGTCTTGTGCCAGCCTTTAGTGTGTAGTCAGCTTGATTAGTGTTTTTATTTATGTACATACATATGTATATCGGAACGTTACTAATATCAGTTTTATTCTATAATTTCCTACGTAACTATTACTCAAAATTTCTGATCAGAAAATAACAATATAGAATACAAAAGTAAAAATCTCAAAATAACAATAACAGAAAATCATTCGTCAACTTGCATTAATCTTACAAAAAAATGGCTTGCTTCCCAACAAAAAAAAATGTGGAAAAAGATGTAGAATTTTCATAACAACCCAGCAAAAAATAATTGATGTCATACTTTACAAACCACATCTTAATCACATCTTAAAATGCGATTTCATATTTTTTACTTTTATAAACCAAATATTTCCTTACAAATGAAACCCCAGTTAAAAGTGAGGAAAGAGATGTGGAAAAGTCATTACAAATAACATATTTGAAGTACATCAAGATTTGGTGAAAGAGTAGTGAAATTTACATAAGCGTGTCATTAAGAGAATGTGTTTTATTTTTGACATCCAAATATCGGATTTTTACTGCTTCTAAAAATAAGATCAGATGTAGTTCAAAGCTGCCAAAAATGAACAACATCCCTCCAATGACACGCTAATGTAAAATTCATAGGTTTTACACCCGAATTTGAAGCACTTCGGGTTACTAGTTGTGATGAAAATTCTACATCTTTTTCCACACTTTTTTTGCTGGGAACTAGTAACCCGAAGTGCTTCAAATTTGGGTGTAAAACCTATGAATTTTACATTAGCGTGTCATTGGAGGGATGTTGTTCATTTTTGTCAACTTTTAACTACATTTAATCTTATTTTTAGAAGCAGTAAAAATCCGATATTTGGGTGTCAAAAATAAAACACATTCCCTTAATGACACGCTTATGTAAATTTCACTACTCATTCACCAAATCTTGATGTACTTCAAATATGTTATTTGTAATGACTTTTCCACATCTCTTTCCTCACTTTTAACTGGGTTTTTATTTGTAAGGAAATATTTGGTTTTTAAAAGTGAAAAATATGTAATCGCATTTTAAGATGTGATTAAGATGTAGTTTGTAAAGTATGACATCAATTATTTTTTGGTGGGTTATTATTTGACACAAACTTTAGTACTTTACGTACTACTTTAATTTCAAATTTGGTTGCATTTAAGTCATAATTTACTCATATTTTAAATTAAAATTTATCTTTTCTACTCTATAGGTGGGCAATTTTATGTTTAGGATGGCATCGTGATGTGCGTCGTATTAGTCCCGACTCATTAGGTCACATGACACTTGGGACAAATGTTTATCCATCTCTAAATAATAGTAGTGTTACTACGAAACTTTCACGCAAAATAGATAATAGTATAACGAGCAGTAACTTGGCAAGATTTCTAGCATGGGGCTTGCCAGCTTTTCAAACAGCTGCAGTGATTGTTGCACGATTGGTGGATGCTGATGAGTTATTAGGTAAGCAATAAATATCTGAATAAGTGTACTAATTTGATTCTTGTAATATTTATTTTAATAGGTGCTTGTTATGTAGGCAACCAATCTGACAAGGGACTCCAGATTTTAGTAGCCACACCATTGTTTTGTTATTGGATATTTGGATCTATGAATTTAGCTTCCGGATTTTTAGTTTATCGTCGAAACAGGGATATTTTACGCAATACGAACTCTACATCACTGCAATTATTACTACAGACGAAATGTAGTATTTCCGGAGTGTTCTTATTTATTTATTGCTTACCTTATGCATTACTGCTATTATCCGTGATATATGAGTTTGCAAACATCGACGTATGGTTAAGTGAATCACCTTACGGTCAAACTCCGGAATGGCCATTTTTAACAAGAGCTTTTATGGAACTAGTGTTATGTATTATTTGCTCTGCATGCATTTTGGGACCAAAAATCTCTTCTTTGTATAAACGTCAGTTATCAGCTCCTCCAAATAAATTACAAGAACCGAATATGCAGGCTGTGCCTGCTCAACATAAATTAATTGGACACAATTGCAATAATCGGGTTTCAAATAATGCCTACAGTACCACATCTTATCAGACTGTTCGAGAACCAAAAAAATCTTCCCAATATACAAAACATTTTAATAATACAATTTCAATGAATCAGTTGCCCAACTATTGCCCTGGACGAACTAAAACTCCAAAAAATCATGTGATGTATCCCCACTTAGTAATAAATTCCTCAACTAGTTGCAACACAAATTCACTACATCGCTACGGCGATGAAACTATTTTGTAGTGTTTTATACATCTAGAAACTTGCACACATTTATACAATATATTGTATGGGCTTCTAAATTGTAAGACTGTGATATGCACTAATGTATTGCTATCTTAATTATATATTTTTATTAAATTCTAAATAGATTATTACAAAATGTCTATTGTTTAATTCAAGTAGAATGTATCTTTGTGTTTTAGATTTTTTAATTTTAAACAAACATATCGTCGTTGCTCAGAGAGTAGAAAACTTTATTTTTATTACACATTACTGATTTTAATGATTTCTAAACAAATAAAAATATCTTTACAGGATTTGTTGGGTAGATGTATGACTAAAAAAGACATGACCCAGCAAAAAGGATGGAAAAGATGTAGTATTTTCATCACAACTAGTAACCCGAACTGCTTCAAATTCGGGTGAAAAACCTATGAATTTTACATTAACGTGTCATTGGAGGGATGTTGTTCATTTTTGACAACTTTGAACTACATCTATTCTTATTTTTAGAAGCAGTAAAAATCCGATATTTGAATGTTAAAAATAAACCACACTCTTTCCATGACACGCTTATGTTGTTGTTGTAACAGTTCCTGGGAAAAAAATTTCGGTTGATACAGCTGTCGCTGGGTTGACAATCTTTGGTCGAGTATGACTCGGGTCGTTCCAGAACGAAGATCCAATTGTCGTGGGAACGACACGCTTATGTAAATTTCATTGGTTTTTCACCAAAATTTGAAGTACTTCGAATGTGTTATTTGTAGTGACTTTTCTACATCTCTTTCCTCACTTTTAACTGTGTTTTCATTTGTAAGGATATGTTTGGTTTATAAAAGCGAAAAATATATAATCGCATTTTTAGATGTGATTAAGATGTCGTTTGTAAAGTATGACATCAATTATTTTTTGCTGGGGAATAATGAAATAAACAAATTGTGACTGTTTTGGTAGGAGCAACGATGATATGTATGTCTTAGATAATTTAACTTAGAAATCGTCCAGGTTGGGATGAAACCTAGACCTTTAACTACGTCCATCCATTTGTCTTTCTACGCCTTGATGTGAAATCGTAAAAATGTTCAGCATTTAAGTTTTATAACTACTTTTGAAATGATACCCTGAAATTTTGAAAGAACTGTACTTAATTTACTATTAATATATTACTTAATACATATACATATGTATAAATTATGTAGTTTTAAATTTTTTATGTATGTATAACGAAAATCGTGCCATTAGTATTAAGAACTTATAAAACTAATATTTTAGGGATTTTTTATATACATTTTAAGTGACTTTAAATGATTATTTGTAAATATTATTTTAAAAAATAAATTAAAAAACTACTTATACACAAAAAATTGAAAATATGGTACTACAAAGCAAAGATTTTTGCTGTGTATTAAACATTAAATTGATGCCCACCTTTTGCTAAAAAATAATTTGAAGGCTAAAAGTAGAAGAAACGTTTATAGATGCTGCTTTGGGAAAATATAATTTACCAAATACCATTTAAGATGGAAGTCAAACTTAATACTATTATCACAGAATTTCTGTGATATTGAAATTTATTTTTGTTCTCCGTTAAATTCCTATTCCTCCGTTAAATTCCTATTGTTAATAATGTCTCTATCTATCAGGGATGCTGCTTTGGGAAAATATAATTTACCAAATACCATTTAAGATGGAAGTCAAACTTAATACTATTATCACAGAATTTCTGTGATATTGAAATTTATTTTTGTTCTCCGTTAAATTCCTATTCCTCCGTTAAATTCCTATTGTTAATAATGTCTCTATCTATCAGGGATGGGGGTAATGATTACACAAAGTAATTCATTACATGGCCAATTACAATTACTTCTAATTGTAATTGAAGTTTTGTCAATTAAAATTAATTGAAATTGTAATTTATGCTTACCAATTACATCCCAGCAAAAAATAATTGATGTCATGCTTTACAAACAACATCTTAATCACATCTAAAAATGCAATTACATATTTTTCGATTTTATAAATCAAATATTTCCTTACAAATGAAAATCCAGTTAAAAGTGAGGAATGAGATGTAGAAAAGTAACTACAAACAACGTATTCGAAGTACTTAAAATTTGGATGAAAAACCAATGAAATTTACATAAGCGTATCATTGAAATAATGTGGTTTATTTTTGACATCCAAATATTAATTTTTTACTGCCTCTAAAAATAAGATTAGATGTAAAAACTAATTGATGTTATACTTTACAAACAACATCTTAATCACATCTAAAAAATGCGATTGCATATTTTTTGCTTTTATAAACCAAACATATTTTTACAAATGAAAACACAGTTAAAAGTGAGGAAAGAGATGTAGAAAAGACACTACAAACAACATATTCGAAGTACTTTAAATTTTGATGAAAAAGCAATGAAATTTACATAAGCGTGTCATTAAAAGAATGAGTTTTATTTTTGACATACAAATATCGTATTTTTACAGCTTCTAAAGATAAGTTGTCAAAAATGAACAACATCCATCCAATGACACGCTAATGTAAAATTCATAGGTTTTTCACCTGAATTTGAAGCACTTAGGGTTACTAGTTCCCAGCAAAAAAAGACGTGCAAAAAAGTAGTAAATGCATGGGTTGAACTGATAATGAACTGGTTCATATTTAGGGGAAACATGCATGATTTTAACATTAGCGTGTCATTGGCATGCATGGGTTCGTATTTGCAAAAATAGTTCGTCATTTAAATGAGTTCTTATGAATATTCGATGATTCTCAAGCGAATTTTCATTGGTGCACTATATTTATTTAAAAATGCATTAATGGTATTTCGATTTAATTATCAATATTTAAATAATTTTTTTGCGTGATATTGATAAAAATAGAATAAGATAAAACATAACTGATTTTGATTGGATTTAAATTCATGCAGAGGAAAAATACCCATTGTGTTTTAAAATCCGTTAAGCTGTCTTGGTTTTTTCCTTCTCCTATTAATGGACTTAATATTACTAATTTTAATGGACTTAATATTACTAATTTTAACAAAAATCTAATAAAAAATTAATGTCATTTTAATCTTTATTGTATGAAATGCACGTTTTCGTTAAATCTCCTAAGAGAATACCAAATTACAGTAAAATATTACAATTCCTATAGTGGAGTTACATGAGTGAATTTGGGTGCATTTTTCATGCCTTCACTGATGACAAATTTATTAGAATTTAGGCATGTATTAAAAACGCATTAAATAGAATACTTACTAAAGAAATCATGAAAATATCCCTTCTTCTTTAACAACTTCAAAATTTTTTTGCTGGGTTGCGATGAAAATTCTACATCTTTTTCCACACTTTTTTTGCTGGGTTGTGGTGAAAATTCTACTTCTTTTTGCTGGGATGTTATTATAAGCAGTGTTTAAATAACAAGACTACAAGTAGCTGTAGTAACGAAAAATAACTACATTTGTAGTTATAAAATGTTCCAAAACTAGCAGCAAATCATTTACTATTACCCATCAAAAAAGGTGTGGAAAAAGATGTAGTATTTTCATCACAAGTTGTAACCCGAAGTACTTCACATTCGGGTGAAAAACCTATGAATTTTACATGAGCGTGTCGTTGGAGGGATATTGTTAATTTTTGACAACTTTGAACTACATCTAATCTTATTATTAGAAGCAGTAAAAATCATATATTTGGATGTCAAAAATAAACCACATTCTTTCAATGACACGCTTATGTAAATTTCATTAGTCTTTCACTAAAATTTGATGTACTTCGAATATGTTATTTGTAGTGACTTTTCTACATCTCATTACTCACTTTTAAGTGGGTTTCATTTGTAATGAAATAATTGGTTTATAAAAGCGAAAAATATGTTATCGCATTTTTAGATGTGATTAAGATGTCGTTTGTAAAGTGTGACATCAATTATCTTTTGCTGGGTACCTTTTGATTTTGGTAGCAGTAGTTATAGATGTAGCAAAAAAATAAAAATTTTTATAGCAGTAATACAGTATTGGTATTTAAATGTTTCTATGTAGCAGTTGAATACTTCAAATAGTAGCAGTAAATATTTTCCTGAAGTAGCAATAAACTATATTATATTTTTCAGCAATCAAAAGTTTGGTAGCAACAGCTACCTAAATAAAGTAGCAATGCTACCAAAATCCTAAGCTTTGGTAGCATAAAAAAATAAAAATTTTATTAAAATAAAATAAAAAAATTACGACATTCAGAAAAAAAGGCACAAGCAGCGGGGAAAAATACTACGACTTCGATTCGTGGGCCTTCTAAAGATATATTATAAAGGTTTCTCATTGTCATTTCGCAAGAGACAATGGACTTTGTTTCCTCTATTTAGAGGATTCTTGCACATTTAAGCTTCTTCTCCATTTGTAGTTTATGTTTTTTTAGAACTATTTCTACTGCTACTGTTTTATTACTACTGCTATATTTTGAGATTTACTTTTTTATAAGTAGCAAAAGTTTTAAAAACTTATGATTATAAAACAAAACAAATGCTACTGCTACAACTTCAGACAATTGTTTGGAGCAGTAGTTAAAGCAATAATATAATACTTGGTAGCAAACGTAGTTTTTCTAACACTGATTATAAGGAACAAAATTCACAATTACAAGTAATTGTAATTACAAAAGTAATTGGCAAAACTTCAATTAGTTTTGGCCAATACTGTATTTGTGTATTTAAAATTGAGAGTGGATTTAATAGGGCTGATAATGAAACAAAACAGAATCCGTTTTACGTTTGTCTAATATCCATCGATATCAGCAGGCGCCGGATGACAGGTGACGGTTTAGTATGACCAGTGTTCTGGATTTCAAGTTTTATTTGGCAAAGAGGATCAGGTCTCCCGAGGAGTGGACAACTGAGAATAAACCTAAAAAGAAACAGAGCTCCCCGTCTTCTAAACAGACGAAGCCAAGCCATACCAGGATGGGGCAGTAAATTGGATAATGAGCGTATGTATATTGGAAATTCTTGGAAACCAAAACGCTGAACTGGCCGTGTAAAAAATGGGATGTGTTTTACAGGAAAGAAGAACCTGAGGGAACTTTATTTTTAATAGGTTAGGTATCAACTAGAACTCCATGGCTAGTCTTGCCAAGAACAAAGGTAGAGCTTATTT